TCTATGTGTGTGTGTGTATGCTTGTATGTCTGTCTGTCTATTTATCTATCTATCTATCTATCTACCTATCTATCAATCTATCTATCTATCTATCTATCTGCCTATCTACCTATCTACCTATCTATTTACCTACCTACCTACCGCGACGGTCCAGAGATGAAAGCGCTTGAACTCTGACCCCCGTGACCCCGAGTCCAACCCCGACCTCGGCAGTTCACAAGACCCGCTGCTTCCCGACCTGCTTCGTCGGTATCAGGGCGAGAAATTTATCTATATCGCCTCGAGGGTCAAACTCAGGGGTCGGAGAGGAGGTCACCGCCGCCGTGGCACTGGTGGTGTGGCACGCTGAATGGCACTTAATTAAGAAAGGCATGCCGATCAACTAGATAAGCTCGTATATAGATAGATAGATAGGTAGATAGATAGATTGATAGATAGACAGATAGATAGATATATAGATAGATAGACAGATATAGATATAGATAGATAGACAGATATAGATATAGATAGATAGATAGATAGATAGATAGATAGATATAGATAATATGATAGATAGATAGATAGATAGATAGATAGATAGAAAGGTAGATAGATAGATAGATAGATAGATAGACAGATAGATAGATACAAATATAAATATATAAATGTATATACATATAAGATAAAAATCATCATATTGATAGTGATAATTAGGATAATAATGGTAAATCTATAACAACAGTAATGAGGATGATGAGAGTAATAGTAATAATCAAATTACTACTAACACTAAAAATAACGATAACAACAAAACGCTAATGATAAAAAATAACTATAATAGTAACAAAAATGATAACGATTAATATCATCATATCAACAATAATGATAACGATTATTATCATCATATCAACAATAATGATAACGATTATTATCATCATATCAACAATAATGATAACGATTATTATCATCATATCAACAATAATGATAACGATTATATCACATATATGATAACGATTATTATCATCATATCATCACAATATCCTTATTTTTTCAAAAGACGATTTCCTTTAAACTTGAAACCTCTCCTGGAGATTCAAACCCCAAAAGCCAGCCCGAGAAAGTTTGTCCGAAATTCTCATAGTATTTCTG